TTGTATGATTGACCAAGCATTCTTTTAGCCATTACACAGCCATTGTTCTTCAATAAATTCCACCTTCTCCCTGTTCCCTATTACTTTAGGTGGATTTAACAAAATACATAAATTATCTGGAGTTGTGGTAATCAGCCCATACTTCACACATTTTTACGTATAATCTGTGCAATTAATACAGCCACATCTTTAGCAACGTGAAAAAAAAAGAAGGGCATGGGGAGAGAGAACATATGTTGCAAAGTTAAATTGGTATCTTACTCAAAAGGTGTCTGAGAACGGAATGTACAAATACTGCACGGCGACCATATGTCCTTGCTGCATTTACCTATATAATATTTACCTATAGATGGAGACAAACGGTAAACAATCTTGTGTATTTTTCAGGTCTTTTTCTGAGATGGTTTATTTAGCTTATGATTTCTCGTCATGTTTTATCATTTTAAGTATCTATCTATTTATTTATTTATTTCTTCACATGACAATGGTGAAAGCAATTAGAAGAGCATCAAAGAATTAGGATGCTTAAAATACAGTAATATAAAAGAAATTTCCCAGGTAATTAACTGTGGGTTACGCATTCAGGGTCCTTTTACGCTGGCGTGTTTTTACCGCGTCTTTACCTTGCTAAAAACGCAAGAAAAATGGGATAAAAATATTTCACTTTCCTAGAGGACTAGGCATTGCAGGTGATGAGCGTTTGGAAAAGTCCTGCAGGCTGCGCTTTTCAAAACAGTAGCAAAAACGCAGATCTCCATTGAAATAAATGGAAAATGCGTCAAAAACACAGCAAAAATACGCCGTGGTTGTGTTTTAGGTGCTCTTTTTTTTTTGAGTCACAGGTGCCAACAGGTGTTTTTTTTTACAGGTGCCAACCAGAAAATGCACCGGAAATGCATCAAAAACACACCAAAAATGTATACGTTTTTAACGTTTTTTTTTTTTTGCAACAGGCTGCTTTCACACTACTTCATTGTGAAAAGATAGTAAAAAAAAGCAGATGTGTTTTTGTCATGTTTATGCTGCATTTTTGGTGCTCTTTCTGGTTGCCTGACATCAGCATGTACCTGTGAAACATGACTCAAAAACGTACCAAAAATGTAAGCGTGCGTGCATTTTTGATGCATTTTTTAAGTGTTTTCTATTCATTTCAGTGGAGAACCTCGTTTTTGGTGCATTTTTTTTGTAACATGCACCAACGATGCGCCAAAAAATGCAGCAGGCTGGACTTTTACAAATGCAACTGACTGGTGTGAAGAGTTCCATAGGATTTCAAGGAGTTCATTTTTCTTTGCTTTTTCTAACTGAAAACTGATCAAAAACTGATCAGTGTGAAAGGGCCCTTGGTAAAAAAAAAGATCAAGACGGATGACATAGTTGCTGAGTGGTTAGCACTTCCACCTGGCAGCACTAGGGCCATCTTTTTTCATCTCAACCACAGCACTGCCTGTCTGGAGTTTGCATATTCTCTCTGTGCCTGTGTGAGTTTCCGCCGGGTACTCCGGTTTCCTCCCACACTCCAAAGACATGCTGGTAGGCTAATTGGCTCCTGTCTAAAGTGGTTAGCACTTCCACCTGGCAGCTCTAGGGCCATCCTTTTGAATATCAACCATGGCACTACCTGTCTGGAGTTTGCATGTTCTCCCTGTGCCTGCGTGGGTTTCCTCCAGGAACTCCGGTTTCCTCCTACACTCCAAAGACATGCTGGTAGGCTAATTGTCTCCTGTCTAAATTGGCCCTAGTATGTATACGTATGAATGGGAGTTAGGGACCTTAGATTGTACACTCCTTGAGGGTTAGGGACTCCCACACTCCAAAGACATGCTGGTAGGTTTATTGGCCCCAGTATAAATACCTGAAATAAAGCAGAAAAAAATTCTAATTACTGTTCTTTTGAAAATGTACTGATGTGCCTGGAATTGTGTGCTCCATTTTGAAAGCAGGAAAGGGCTGAAAACCAATCAATGAAAAGAAAATGAAGCCTGTTAGGCTCACACTGCTGTGAGTGCATGCTTTCCTCACTTTCCCACATGTTTTGTGTAGGGTAGCCCATTTGTTTCAATGGGCTGCCCTACGCATGAGAAATGCAGAAAAAAAGTTCCTGATTCCTTCTGAAAACACACCGCACTGAATAGCACCATGCGGTTCGAGGCTAAAGAGTGAGACTGGAGGAGAGAGAAGACATGTGGACCTGGAGCTCAGAGTTTGTTGGGCTTTCCTGCCTTTTAGCGAAGCCTATCCCTCTGAATTGGGAGACTCCAGTACTGCCAGCTGTTCGCAAAGGTGTACAGCATTCCACCAGTCACCTCAGAAAAGTCTCCTGCCAGACACCTCAGACCCACATTCTGCCAGTCACCACAGACAAAGCTTCTGCTGGTCACCTCAGACAAACATTCGCCCCGGTCACCTCATACATATCCTAGTTCAACATGCTGAATAAAAAAAAAAAAAAAAACGTATTTATAAATTGAAGCTGTCTTCTCCAACAGTATTCCGCCGGAAAGGGCCCCAACTAAGCTAGCAAAAGTAATCATCTCAGACTATTCCATCTTGTCTTATACTGGTATTTGTCTCACCATTTGTATTGCTGGAGGTTGCTCTATGTCTCAGAACAAAGCCCTGCAGGCAAATTTGGGCTGTTCAGGACCACCCTGAAGTCCTAAGGACAGCCTAGCCTCTTAATTACATTTTTTTCCTTTCTTTTCTTCTATTTTTGCTGCCTTTGCTATGCTCTTGGTGGTCCTGTCATAGCTCAAATTAAGTTGTATATGTGGTGAAGTCTGGGTCCAAAGACCTTTAGGGTAAAACCTAGTACACACAATCAGAAAATCATACAAAAAATACAGCGTTTAAAGCAGGGGCAGACTGACAACTCATGGGGCCCCTGGGCAATAGAGGATCATGGGGCCCCTGTGTCCTTGCCCAAACTCAAAAAAGCCTATGAAAAGGTACCAGGGGCATCTGATGGGGCCCCCTACTGACCCTGGGCCCTCAGGCAGTACCTGAGTTTCCAAATGGTCAGTCCGCCCCAGGTTTGAAGCAATCCTATGATAATCTGATCGTTAGTACACAGTTTTCGTTTGAAGATATTAGAAGGGACAAGCACGAAAGTTTTTCTCATACAATACCAATCCATACAATACCATCAATATAATCATGCCGATTTTCCTTTAATTAGCAGTTTGCATCTGAAAGTACCATACAATACATTTACTGTGCATCACTTCTGAATTTGTATTTTGTCATGCAAGAATGTTTGGAATTTAGTAACCTCTTCATTATCCTTGTGGAGACTAGCATGTAAAAAAAAAACAGGTGATCATTTATCTAATATTCTCATCAAGTGTACGAGGCTTTACTTTCCAAAGTCAAGATTGTTCTATGAAAAAACTGCATTGTAATGTGTGTTATAAGTGAATTACTGCAAACCGGTACATTTATACTATTATTGACCTCATTTGAATTCATAATACACTCTAGGCCAATTTAACTCGGTGTGGTTTATTTTGTCATAAGGGTGTGTCAGAACTCACCACTAAGGGCTCCATGTACACGGGGCGTCTGGACAACTATTCTGAACGATGGAAACTGACTGCTGGTAAAATGTAGGTTAAAAAAACTTCTGTTTAGCCGCTTTTGCATACCGCATTTATGCATGTTTGCGTTTAGAAGCGTATTTTAAAGATAACCTCAGGAGACCTTCCCAAATTCCCAGAATGCACTGAAAAATAGTAAAAAATTAACTATTTTAGACATTTTGAGAAAACTAGAGAGAGCAGAAGCAGAGAGAGCAGTATGTGTTGAGATGACCAGTCTTTCTGGTTGTATTCACTATGGATCCCATCATGAGCAAAATGCGGCACGTTCTACCATTTGTTCATTCACGCAAAACCTGGAACTGACTGGCTGGTGTACCGGGTCCATTTGAATACATGGAAAACGCTTTGCATGCATTTCTGATGAAGAAAAAAGGCTCCGGACAGCATCTGGATATGGACCAGTTAAAAAAACGTTTCTAAACGCAAACGCTTGTAAATGCGGTTAACTGTGTTTACAAGCGTTTACAAGCATTTGGCAGAAATGGTAGTAAAATCTACTGCTGAACGCAAGTTTGGTGTGTTCAAAAAAACGACTGTAAACTCAATTGCCTGTAAACGACTGTAAAAGACGATGTGTACATGGACACATAGGAGAACATTTGGAGAGTTCAGGGGCTGCTGAGAAAAAACGCTGAACAGCTCCTGAAAGTTTATCAGCTGCAGTGTACATGAGCCCTTAAAGTATAGTTCCACTCAAAAGTGGAAGCTCCGCTTATTTGCCTCCCCCCCCCCTCCACTGCCATATTTGGCACCTTTCGGGGAGGAGGAGGCTCAATTCGCCATGTCGAAGTGAGCCAAAAGTTTGGCCCCATCCTTGTCCCCCCCCCATCTCCTGGGAACTTTCACAGGTCCCAGGAGACTGCCGGGCCAATCAGGAGGCGCAGCGTGACTCGTGCATGCACAGCGGGCACCAGGCTGTGAAGCCGCAAGTAGACAGTAGAGATGTCGGCATTGTGGAGAACAAAGGAGAGAAGGGACTGTGCAGGTGAGCACATCGCTGGACCCTGAGACAGGCAAATGTGTGTTTATTCAAAGTCAGCAGCTTTTTGTAGCTGCTGACTTTCAGCCTCAGTTCACATGTATATCGCATGTGATTCGCACAGAAACCGCACCGCATTCCTGTGCAAATCACATGCGATTTGTGTGCGGTGCGATTGGAGCCATAAATTTTGTATGGTTTCTAATCGCACCACACCAAAAAAACAGGCAGGACCAGGGGCGGACTAACAACTCATGGGGCCCCCAGGCAATAGGGGATCATGGGGCCCCTGTGTCCTTGCCCAAACTCAAAAAAGCCTATGAAAAAGGTACCAGGGGCATCTCATGGGGCCCCCTACTGTGCCCGAGTTTCCAAATGGTCAGTCCACCCCTGGGCAGGACCCTTTTTTTGGTCCATGCTAGAATTGGATCGCATGGGTGTTCACACCTATGCAATCCAATTCTGCGCATCGCAACGCATTTTGCAGACCGCTTTAGGGGTGTTGTTAACTTAACATACACACCCGCAGCGGTTCACATGAACAGGTGCGATTCTGATGCGGTGTGGAATTCGCACAGAAAACGCTGCAAATTCCGCACCGCATTAGTGTGAACCCGGGCTTAAACACACAAAAAGGGCTGGAAGTCCACTTTTAGCTCAATTAAGTAAATCAAGCTTCAGAGGGATTACCAAACTAGCGGCTCCTGCGGGGGGCGCTCTACACTCCAGAAGGAAATCTATTCAAACTAGCGGCTCCTGCAGGGGTCGCTCTATGCTCCAGAAGGAAATCTATTCAAACTAGCGGCTCCTGCGGGGAGCGCTCTACGCTCCAGATCTATTCAAACTAGCGGCTCCTGCGGGGGTCACTCTATGCTCCAGAAGGGGGCCGCTCTATGCTCCAGAAGGAAATCTATTCAAACTAGCGGCTCCTCAAGGGGCCACTCTACGCTCCAGAAGGAAATCTATTCAAACTAGCGGCTCCTGCGTAGGGCGCTCTACGCTCCAGAAGGAAATCTATTCAAACTAGCGGCTCCTGCGTAGGGCGCTCTACACTCCAGAAGGAAATCTATGCAAACTAGCGGCTCCTGCGGGGGGCGCTCTACGCTCCAGAAGGAAATCTATTCAAACTAGCGGCTCCTGCGGGGGCGCTCTACGCTCCAGAAGGAAATCTATTCAAACTAGCGGCTCCTGCGGGGGGCGCTCTACACTCCAGAAGAAAATCTATGCAAACTAGCGGCACCTGCGGGGGGCGCTCTACGCTCCAGAAGGAAATCTATTCAAACTAGTGGCTCCTGCGGGGGTCACTCTACGCTCCAGAAGAAGGAATCTATTCAAACTAGCGGCTCCTGCGGGGGGCGCTCTACGCTTCAGAAGGAAATCTATTCAAACTAGCGTCTCCTGCGGGGGGCGCTCTACGCTCCAGAAGGAAATCTATTCAAACTAGCGGCTCCTGCGGAGGGCTCTCTACGCTCCAGAAGGAAATCTATTCAAACTAGCGGCTCCTGCGGAGGGCGCTCTACGCTCCAGAAGGAAATCTATTCAAACTAGCGGCTCCTGCGGGGGGCGCTCTACGCTCCAGAAGGAAATCTATTCAAACTAGCGGCTCCTGCGGAGGAGGCTCTACGCTCCAGAAAAAAATCTATTCAAACTAGCGGCTCCTGCGGGGGGCGCTCTGCGCTCCAGAAGGAAATCTATTCAAACTAGCGGCTCCTGCGGGGGGAGCTCTACGCTCCAGAAGGAAATCTATTCAAACTAGCGGCTCCTGCGGGGGGCGCTCTACGCTCCAGAAGGAAATCTATTCAGTAACAGCAGATCTTCTGCATGGTTATTATCCCCCCAAAATATTGGAAGCTGAGAAGAGGTCAGGAAAAGGACAATTTAGCAGAACACACATAACATTTCAGACATACTGATAATTATCAGTCAGTATTAATAGTTTGCTGTGCTTTCTGGCCAACTAATGCAAACTAAGTTTTGTCTTTTTCCTAAAACTGTAGCAGAAATGTAGTGTTCAGGGGCGGGCTGACCATTCGAGCAGTCGGGCACTGCCCGAGGGCCCGGGGTCAGTAGGGGGCCCCATGAAATGCCCCAGGTACTTTTTTTATAGTCTTTTTTGAGTTTGGGCAAAGACACAGGGGCTCCATGATCCCCTATTGCCCGGGGGCCCCATGAGTTGTCAGTCCGCCCCTGGTGTTTTATCATAAACATAGTGAAGATAGTTCAGATTTCAGACTGCAGTGACAAGAAATACTTTGCATTTACTATACAATGACAGGTTTAGTATATGTCGGTCTATTCCCTATGCATGGTTTTTATTGAATACAAATATATGTATATTTATGGGAGCTGGAAACACTCATTCTGTGTTTTTTTTCAGAACGTTCTAACACAAGTAAAGCATCCTGATGCTTTAGTCCTCATGTACACTTTGTGTTTTTTACAGCGGCTGTTTTTGTCTTTTGACATTTATTTACAGCCAGTAAACCACCCAGCATGTTATTCTATGTGCCCATGCACACATAGACTGGAATCAATGTTTTTTGGCTGGAAAAAAACCTAAGACTAGTGGGTTTCTACAGGAGTATTTTAGCTGTAAAAACTCTCTAATGCTGAAAAACATGGCAAAAAGCGTTAAACGCCGCAAACCGGTGTTTTGGGACTTTTTTGACCCAAAAAAAATGTTTTTTTGGTAAAAAATGCTAAAAAATGCAATGCGGAAAAACGCCACTAAACCCAGCTAAACGCTAATGTAAGAATGCTAAAAAAAAAACCTGAAAACCTCAAGTTTTTAACATGACTTTACACAGCTAATGTTACCAGCGTTATCAAAACGTCCCATGAGGACTTACTGTTAGCTTCAACACATTAAAAAAGTGCGCTGTTCACTTTAAATGTGAGGAATCAATAAATATGTGCAAACTAAAATTCATATATCCTCAAATGATAATAAATCCATAGGAAATACAAAACTGTGGCAGCACAGTGGCTAAGTGGTTAGCACCTCCGCCTGGCAGTACTAGGGTCGTTGGTTCAAATCCCAACCACAGCACCACCTGCCTAGAGTTTGCATGTTCTCCATGTGCCTGCGTGGGATTCCTCTGTGTTTTTCAGTTTCCTCCCAGGGGCGGACTGACCATTTGGAAACTCAGGCACTGCCCGAGGGCCCGGGGTCAGTAGGGGGCCCCATGAGATGCCCCTGGTACCTTTTTCACAGGCTTTTTTGAGTTTGGGCAAGGACACAAGGGCCACATGATCCCCTATTGCCCAGGGGGTCCCATGAGTTGTCAGTCCGCCCCTGTTTCCTCCCACACTCCAAAGACATGCTGGTAGGTTAATTGGCTCCTCTCTAAATTGTCCCTAGTATGTGTATGTATGAATGTGAGTTAGGGACCTTAGATTGTACAGCCCTTGAGGGATAGGGACTGATGTGAAAGTACAATATATATGTAAAGTGCTAAATTGACAGTGCTGTATAAGTACCTGAAATAAATATTACCAAAAATACATGTAATATTTCATATGCACTGCAGTAAATAAGTCCCCAAATCCAATGTGAGAAAAAAAGTGTTGCTTGCCAAATGAATCTTCCAATAAAGTGCTGCTGTGCTCAAAAGGTGCCCCTCAGAAATATAGGCAAGCCTCTTACCGAACCAAATTGATCTCAAGCTATAGAGAGCAAATGAGCAGATTGGGTCCAAACTCCACACTGACACTCTCACAGATTCAGGGAGGATGGATGGATCACTGCGTGTTCACACCAGGAACCGGCTTAACCATTTCATACTCCGCAATGGTGTATGAAAGGGTTTAAACAAGGGTTTCATAGTGCAACTCCGTTAAAAACAAATGTTTTATTTAAAATGTAAGTATTGCATTTAAATTCAGATGAGTTAAAGAGAGCAATGGAAAAACATATGCCTATTAAGCCGTGGTGTCGGTCCGTCGGCTTGTGCGTGGTGACGTCACAGAAATAGGATGCACTACACGTTCCCCCAAAAATGGCATCCTCTTGGATTGGAGATCTCAAATGTATCTCCAACACTGTTGGTGGTTATTACAAATTATCCAGTACAAGTGTGGAGAGATGAAAAACACATACAGATCCATAGCTTCAATCAAGACTGACTTCTCTTGCACATGGACAGTAGTGATGGGCTGAACACTCCCCGGTTCCGTCAAACATTTGAACCTCACAAAAGTTCGGCTGCAAACTTTGACCAAGAACAATTCACTAAGCGGTGTCTTAGTGTCTGAGTATGCAGTAAGATACCGCAAAGCTACTAAAATACCGCATGAGTTATATTATTAAGTCAGGCAGTATTTTACTAGTGAAAACATTACTGTTTCTGCTGTCAGTGGGGTTCCCCGCTGACAGCTGAATGTAAAAAGAATAGCAGGCATTGCCCGGCAATTACATTTTTTTTAAGCGGCGTGGGGTTCCCCCCCATTCATACCAAGCCCTTCGGGTCTGGTATAGATTTTGAGGGGAACCCCTTATGCCAACATTTTTTTTTTTAATGTCAAACTGGGGTCCCCCCCAAAATCCATACCAGACCCTTATCCTTGCATGCAGCCCAGCAGATCAGGAAAGGGGGGACGAGGGAGCACCCCCCCTCCTGAACCATACCAGGTCACATGCCCTCAACATGGGGAGGGTGCTTTGGGGCAGGAGGGGCTCCCCCCCAAAGCACCTTGTCCCCATGTTGATGGGGACAAGGGCCTCTTCCCCACAACTGTGGCCAGTGATTTTGGGTGTTTGCATATGGGGGCTTATTGGAATCTGGAAGCCCCCCCATGTGAATGAGTATGGGGTGCATGGTACCGCTACTTAATCACAAAAAAAAAGTGGAGTGTAAAAAATGACAGTAGACAGTCTTGACAAGTCCTCTGTTAAAAACAAAAATAAAAAAAGGTCCCCTGAAGTGGATCCAACGTCAATCACAAAGCCACTGCCGGCCCAAAAAAAAAAAAAAAAAACACTCGCTCTTGATGCTGGCTCCTACCATCTGACAGCTGCTCCGGCCTGACCTTTCCTAAATACTGTGACGTCATCATGCGCTGTGATCTGTGGTCAGGTGCATTGCTTTGGCCAATCACATTGCACTGTCAGGGCACAATGCATTGTGGGGTGTGGTAGGCGAATGGCCCTCCAAACACTCTTACCATTCATCTGTTCACCGAACACACAAATTAGCCTAACCCTAATGGACAACCTGGGTGCTGGCCATTATAGTTCAACTCCCCCTCTCTCTCTCTTGAAAATATGAAAGAATATCAGCCTCACTCCACTTAGGGATGTCACTAGGCTCCTCCTGATGCGGTGTGCCACCAATCACGTGACTTCTTCCTGAAGAAGTCACATGATCGGTGACGCTACGCATTGGGCGGAGCCTAGTGACGTCACGTCCGGTGCTGCGCAAACTGGAGTGAATAGTGAGAGGAAACCATCTTTGTTGAGGGATTTTGATGCCTGCTTTGAATTTATCCTTGTGAGTGTAATATTATTTGAATTTATAGAGTTGCGCTATGGGTTGTTCTTTCTTCCCTTGAGCACATACTAT